ACCCTGGGGACGCACACAACCAACCCTAGTGAGCAGATCGACCCAATTTTCAACCCTACATCGGCATGATCGGCCTGAAAAACCCTAGTGCGCCGAGTGCAGGAACAGGGGAAGCAGAGGAACAGGGGAAGCGCGAATAAGCAGGTCCTTACCGTATTCAGGAGGGAACTCGCCGGGTTCCCTACGCCGCGGCTCCATGGCGCCTTGTGTCGCCGCCGATGAGGCCGACGGCGGCGTCGCCTCGCAGGAGGAGCGGGCAGAGATGAGGAGGAACAGGGGACGTGGGCAGAAGGGAAAGGTTTTTGGAAGGGTTTTGCATCGGGGCCGACGACCAGGTGCTTTTCTGTCGAGGGATGGACTTGTCTGCGAAATTGCTAAAGCGTGAGGGTTTCTTTGTAAAAACGTGATCCGGGCCCGACAGAGCCTACATGGCGTGCCACGTGTGCAGTTCGGGGTGGTTTTGTATAAATTTGTTACAGCAGACAAGTTGGAGGGCTAGTTTTGTGGGGTTTTTTAGTTCTTGTATGAAACTGTTCCCACCCCTACAAGTTTATGTATCAATAGTGGTATTAACTCGAGATATTATTGCGAGCTACTAGTTGCAGATTTGGAAGGTTCTGTGTCGTACGTGTACCCCCAAGAAGCAGAAGAAACACTGTATGTGTGTATATAGTCATAGATAGAACAACACTGCCAAAGCAGTACTTCGTACTACTATATGTATACTACCGTGTTCAAGTAGTGGAAAACAGCCATATATATCGGCATATCGCTTAAGTTTAAATTGCCACTTGCAGTCGTTATCACGATGAGACTTGACTGTCATCGACCCAACATGCCCGAAAATAGCATTCCAACCGTGGAAATCGCGGGATACACACTCCACTTGTCGGGCCGATTAGTGTGGGCTTGCTTGTCCGTTACCAAAAGACCACTAGCTAGATAAGGGCATCTCATCCCTCAAAGAAAAAAAAAAGCTAAGGGCATCTCTAGCGGATTCTCAATCCTATAATTCCAAACCGTATCCCCTATTTCAGCAAAGGTGACTTTTTCGGAGTTTTTTCATCTACCATATCTCCCAAACCGTCTGGACCCTACATGCAAGCCTCTCTTCATCTTCTTCTTTCTTCTTCCATGCGGCCAACGACAACTAGATGATGTCCATGAGCTAGCTATGGTCTAGGATAGATGATCCGCAAAAATAAGTCGATAGGGACTCATCGAGCGCGGCGTACACATGCGACAAAAGAGTCGAGAATGCACACGAAATCCTCTTCCATGGACCACGGTCTGGACGAAGGAGTCTGAATAGGGTTTTCACCAAACAACATAAGATCATTTTTTTTTGAAAAGAAAAGGTGGCTGAAAGCCAACCTTATATTTCAAAACAGGTTAGAAACCTGTGAGAGTCACATGTTACATTGGTCCTGTGAAGTGCACCAAGGTGCAAGATCACAACATAAGATCATGGTGTGAGGAAGGGTAACAACCGCCCAACAACGCCTCCAAGCAGGACAACAACGCTAGACGATGTCACTGCGAACATGTCACTATAGGTTGTCGTGCCACACGATAGCCACTGATGCAAAGCACAACACCAGGACCCGGCAATATCTAGATTTGGGGACTACGGTGCATCATCAAATAGTTTTTATAGGAATAACAAAAAATCCATGTGGTTGGACTGAGTGGAATTATTCGTTTAAAGTATACATATATAGGAAAAAAGATAACGTAGACCGTAAGAATAATTCCAATAGTTTATAATCCTGAAACCAAACTAACTCTATAGAAAAATTCCTAAAGAATGGAATCCACCAATATTTTCATGAAGTTCCTTTGAACAAAAGAGGCCCTGAAATTCTGTAGCCGCACAATTACCAGGAAATATGATATGCTCATGCTAATTCGGCCAGCCAGAAAAACAAAAAACATGAAGATTTTGCTGGGCGAGGGCAGTTACCTTGCAACAGGAACTGATGGAAGCCACCGATTTCTCACAGGAAAGACCATGCCTGCCAGCCGACCTGGTGCATAAGCTCATACTACTAGCGTTGTAGTCAGGACTCACGACTGAGGAGCCAGCGACTAGTACGATATATATTTCTCGCCTAAAACGCGGCCAGCCAGCCAGCCAGCAGCATATATATGCAGGTGAAATGTGTTGCCGGGTGCATTCCTCTTGGCTTGGATCATCAACCCATGCTCAAATGCTGGATCCATCGTTGGACGGACGGACGCTGCTGGGCAGGAGGGCCTCACCTCAACCACGCCAAAATGCCTCTTTTCCGGCCATGACCGCCGCCCCTTGGGTCGGCAGATGGAAGCAACGAAATGTATCTGCACTAGTGCACTGTGCTGCTGCTACTATTATAGAGAACCGTTGTTGTGAGCCACTAGTTATTTTCTTTCAGGATTCAGCAGATCTGGACTGTGTTGTGCCATGGATATATAACACTCGAAGAACACTGCCAAAGCAGTAATCATCTGTTTACGTGTGGTGTGCATGAACACTCGAAGAACACTCCTACTGTTATAATTTTCAAGACTGGCGAGAACTGTGCCATGCCGAGTTTAACTAAGTTGCCACTGGGAGTATTATTAGCTCTCCATGATCAAGATGAGAATCAGTCCTCTTGCGGTCGGCCCATTCTTGACAACAAAAATAGCATTATCAGCAGTGGAAATTGCGGAATACGTACTCTATTAGCTAGTCACTTGTCAGCTGCCAGAAGCTCATAGCAGAATCTCGGGGGACAAGGCTGGCCACAAATACCATTCAGAATAAGCATATATATAAAACCATGTAAACTACGCGATTTAATAAACAAGCAAATGAATGCACAAGTTTCCGATTTTGGCATGCCGCAAGCTGACAAAGGAGCCCTTTTGGGGGGATGCCCGTCAGCTACTTTATTTGTTCTGTTATGCGATAGAGAAGTGTTTGCTCGAATCATCCATCATTTCCTTGCGCAGTAGAAGTTCTTTAATTCCGATGTCACTTGGTGTCAGGTTATTTATATTGATTCAAATGTTCAAATGGCAATGACTGCGGCTTCAGGGCTTTGGTCTTTAGGGGCACGTGCACGAAGATTTTTTGACTATTATCGACAAGATTAGGCAAGTTTCGATATGGGAGCGGCGGCTCGCTCTAGCAGCCATAGTGATCTTTAGATGGTTCAGGGATCCTAATGTAATTTTTATTATGCATGTGATGTTTTGTATTTTTAATGAACCTTTCTAATTGTTCTGAATCTTTTTTTTATTCGTGGGTGTAAAGGCCATGTACGGCCATGTGCGGAGCCGGTGCTAGCCGATGATAGATTCTAGCTGGAGTCAGCTGAGTACGCTTTCTGAAGAAAGGAAAAAAAAAACTCAGTACTGCTACTCGGGATTATGCACCAGAACCCTCTATTTCCTAGCCTAGGAAAAGCAAAGGGCCAGCCAGAGCAGGTTAAATTTCGTGTTTTGACCCTTTTCTGAAACCTATTCGAGATTTGACCCTAGTTTGAAAAAAATTCGAGATCTGACCCTTTTGCTACCGCCAGGGACCATGGCGGTAGGGTATAACAGCCTACCGCCTTGCATGCCCTACCGCCAAAAACCTCCGAAGTATTGAACACAATGTGTGTTCGTGCCTACCGCCAAGCACCTTGGCGGTAGGGTTGTTCAGGCTACCGCCAACCCGGTTGGCGGTAGCGATGTTTCCTACCGCAAAAGCCCCTGGCGGTAGGCTGTTAGACCCTACCGCCATGGACTCTGGCGGTAGGCTGTTAGACCCTACCGCCATGGACTCTGGCGGTAGCAAAAGGGTCAGATCTCGAAAAAATTTCAAACTAGGGTCAAATCTCGAATAGGTTTCAAAAAAGGGTCAAAACACGAAAATTTGTCGCCAGAGCAGACAGCCCGGCAGGGCAGCAGGTGAAATATGTGCATCTCTCCTCTCTCCTGGCAGGACCTGATGGTCACCCACCCATATTCTCTTCCCAGGGTGAGTGGCGACAGCCGACAGCCAACACTTGGGTTGGTAGGCAGGTCGAATGAATCTGCTACCTGCGGCAGGAGGGTCTCACCTGCATGATCTGGTTCGCCGCCAAAAATGCCAAATTTCCTCTTTTCCGGCCATGACCCGCCGGCCGCCGCCGTGCCACCGAATCCATGTAACCAAGGCATCCAAGTCGGCCAGCATGCGTGCTACTGCTATGGTGTTTTATTTCAGAAGAACTGAGATATTATTGCAAGCCACTAGTTGCTCTCCTCCGGGCTTTGCGAAGACTCAGTGGGCTCTGCTGATTTGGAAAGTTCTGTGTCGTACGTGCACCCTAAAGAAGCAGAAGAAACACTGCTGGTTCATATTCTAGTGCAGTGCTCAAGGGGTGCATACGGTGCCATATGGCCTACGTTTAGCCCATTAACCTATACCACACTGGTCAAGATGAGGATTGTCCTCTTGTGATGATGTGATCGACCCATACATATCACAAGAATATAAGCATTACTCACATTACCAATTAATAAGAGGTTCCGTGCACGCCGAATGCACGAGATAATCTAGACAATCACACAGGTAGTACCAGACAGAAATTCTTACGCAAGGCTGGACAGCGGCTGCTGTTTGCTGAAACAGATAGCCTTCACCCCTTCCGCCGTATCCCGGAAACAAGCAACCAAAGAAATGGCACCTCTTTACTTCAGTTTCCTCGATAGCACCATCACATTGAAGTTTACCGAATTGGGAATCCTCTGCATCATCGCCTTGATGACATTCACGGCATCCTAGTAGAACACAAAGAACGGCGATTATTGTATTGTAAGCAGGGGAGATATAGTTGCAGATGCCAATGGGCAGTTAGATAACCGCTGGTAAAAGGAAGTGCCAGCCAACGGCAGCGGCACTGATATACAGAGGTTGCTGAAATTGTGCGACTTGTAGAGATGTCGGCTGTCCTTTGCTACTACTGTTATCCAGCCAAGGCACTTCGGTGGTGTGCTACACTGGAGGAACTGTTTGCTTTCTTTTGGTGGATGTGTTTTTTCTGTGGTTCCGCAGCGGGTTGTGGCCTTGTGGGTGCAATTGAATAAGTGTGGTCAGACTGGATACTGTGTTATCAGTTTCATTTTAATGAGATTGGGGGCCTGAAGCTCCTGGAATAAAAAGAAAAATAAGGCAGCGGCAATGGCACTGGCATATACTATCATTGTAAAAAATGCGCCGTGTCAAGAAAACGTAACACTGTATACCGCCCGTGAAACTAGCTTACATTAAGTGTTGTCAGCGCATATGTTAAACTGCAGTGCATCAACACCACACAAATGATTTTCCAGTTGAACTTTCACTTCACATCTGCCAGCATCAATTATTCACAGGCCATGAGCAATTACTGCTGATAGTTAGATATTCATTTGAGTCATTGAGTGCCAAATAAGTAACAGGTCAGAAACCAAAACGTCAAGACTAATGCCATGAAAAGCACGACTCTTTTCGTACCAGTAACTGAATCTGCTAGTGTACCTTCGTACCTGTTCTATTTAAGGGCCTATAGGCTCTGGAGCTCATGTAGGGGGATACAGAACAACCGTGTCTAGAATGTACAGTACAGGTCATGAAACAAATTGACAAGTTTGTGCGGCCACCATCATCACTCATCCTACATGTTGGTAGCTTATTCTTGTAAAAATGGCCACTATTCAGATGTTTCCTCTCTATTTATTCTAGGCTTTTACAGTTTACCATGACATATAGGATGGTCCAGTGACATAACTTGAACAATATAAGTGTGATGGTAGCTAGGTTATCCAAGCCTGTACAAGCAAACATAACACTGGCCTTTTTGACAGTACCTGCAGTAAACTTTCAGGAGATGAGGGACCATGCTTTATTGGTCCACCCTTTATTCCATCGAGCTCGTAAAGTGTCCCTACAGATATATGCCACTCATTACTATCCTATGAAAAACAATCAAAACTGAGTATTACGTCGAGACCAGCAAAAAGACTTACCATTGAGAGTTGTGAAACAAACATAATGCTCTTCTACAATGTCACCGATCTGGCAAACGAGCGCCAGGTATGAAGTTAAACGTTTTCAATGAAAATAGGAGAAGAACTTTTAACAAATATTTATATGCTCACATTTTCTTCTTATGTATTTTCACTACACAAAAAAATGATAACTGTAAAAGATTATAAATCAATCTGAAAGACGTCCTGTCATAGTCTGTTAGATAATTGTAAGTGATCATACTGCCTTTTCAAAAAAAATACCACACTGGTCACTACAACAAAGTTTTGTCTTTGCATTTGAACTGAAAGAAACATTATGAAGACACTTCACCATATGAGCTAAAACAGCAATTTCAAGTTCCATGATTATTTATTTATTCACCACACATCAATCTATTGGCTGCTGTAATGATTATTTACGTCTCTGAGACAGAATCCCAGTTCACATAAGCCAAAAACAATAATCAGTACCTCTGTGTCACCAGCATTGGCAGCCAATGAGTGAGCTCTTGCCATGTCATCGTCCTTCTCCAACACTCTGGCACGCTAAATGTATGGCATGAGATAAAAAGGATAACAGAAAACCGTTTGAGAGTGATCAAGGTAAGGATGAATGGCTTGAATCAAGAGATAAGAACCTCATACGGGTCCATGCTGGCTGTTGATTTGAAAAACAGGTCCAAGCCTGAATTCTCCACTACAAAAGACAACATAAGTTCGTTTAACAAAAAACAGAGGCATAAGCACGGAATGGAATCATTTTACATGATTTACATACTGCAAATTCTATTAACCTACATAGAATCGATGCCCCCCTAATTACTTGTGCAACAGACAGAATGGCATCACACACAACAGAAGCACAAAAGCACAGAGCTTACTTACATAGACTGATTTCTGAACATGCATTTCCAACAGCATGAAGTAAAGCGATAGTTCCACAAGCATTTCCTAATGAGTCGATCTGTTTTATGAAATACACCCCATCCAAACTTTCCTGCTGCAAAAGGGATATGTTGAGGTCAAATGTGTGATGTAAGACCATAAGGGGCCTGGTACAACTGTAACTCACACTGATATATGCAAAAGGAATAGTCGTGCGATCTACAAGAAACAAACATTGCCGACCTTGTCTTCAGTAGCTGAGACTTGTTCTGGAGGGGCGGCTGGATCCTGCATCGGGCTAAAGGAATAAGTACTGAATCTCTGAAAGTACTAATCTAGGATATATCAAAACAGAACAGGACTGCCTACACACATTTTCACATAAACAATCAACATTTGCATATGAATCTCAATGATAATATGACTCCGTCTCCAACAATAGACGGTACTAGCATTGAAGTGAGTCCAGCGCACAGCAAGTGAGAAGAACGGAATTTCTGGACCGTGTGGTGTATGTACCTCGGGCGGATCGGGGAAGCAGAAGACGACGGCGAGCACGGGCTGGGGCACCATGGCCAGCGCGTCGGCGTCTAGCCCGTACACGTCGTGGAACTCGGCCTCGCCCCGCGGGACACCCAGCGACCACATGAACTGCGGCCCCCGCCGCGAGGAGTTCGGTCAGATAGATGGTCAAAGTAGCGATGGACGATAGGAGCAGCAGGCAGCGGCGGACGCTAACCTGGTTGAAGACTTCGGGGCTGGACTCGAGCGGGGGCCACCGCTCGCCGGAGCAGGCAGAGGCGGAGGAGGTCGGCGCTGCCATGGGGATTTCGCCGGAGGTGGAGGGGAGCGGCAGTTTTTTCTTTAGTGTACGACGAGGGGAGCGGTAGCTTTTTTTTGAGCGGGGGCCCATGTGTGACGAACGGGCCCAGTATGCTCACAACAACGAGCCCGGCCCAGCTTCCCAATGCCCATTAATCTGAAGCGGTCAGAAGGCTAATACTCCCTCCTTCCAGAGGCCCAAATGAATGTTTGAGCGTCAACTTTTTCTGGATATATGTTGTAGTAGTATGAGTGTATGACACAGATTTTAAATTCAAAATCAAACAGTCTGCTTCACAAACAAAAAGAACGATACAGTGTTAATAGTGAGAATGTGGTCGAAGTATTTGTAGGGCTCTCCCCTTCTTGCTTGTGAACGTAGGGAGGGTCCCAATTTTGGAATTCAGTTCACTCAATTAAGCACAAGATTCGACAAAGGCTTTCAGTTTTCATAGGAGAGGAGACCCTCTTCTGCATGCATCCTTGGATGAGCAGATCTCCTCTTCGCAATGAGTTCCTAGACTTTTCACTATCTGCACGTCCCGGCGTTGTTCGTGTCCTCGGCTGCCCACAATAGGCATTGGAAACTCTCACTCCAATGCACGTTTCACCCAAGACAACCATAGCTTGGACTTGCCTTTGGGAGGCCCTTTCCGCCGATGCATCTGGATAATCCAAATGCCATATCTTGGTGCTTGACCCCTTCACAATTCTTCTCGGTTGGCTCGGCGTGCCATGCCTTGTGCCGGCGTTTGTCTCCCACGTCGACCACTCCTCTTCAGAAAGAGCCTTACCTCTGAAGATTCAGATCTTTGTGTGGTAGCGTATGCATGATCGCCTCCCACCGAGGACCGTGGTAGTCAAGTGCAATGGGCATGGCGATGATTTATGCCAAATTTGTGATGCCCTGAAGACTGGGACCCACATATTCTCCACTTGTCTTGCTGCCCTTTTTCTTTGGTGCTTTCTCCGTGAGGCTCTCGGCGCTGACCTGGACCCTTTGAACAAAGCTTAACAAGATGGTCATTGAGCGTGTCTTTTTATAGCGAGCCAGTGATGCTATATTGAAATTTCATCCCTTTTGCTGCACTGGCACCTGCTCACTAGGCAGCGGGATCGGGACTGGCTGGGTAGCATGACAGACGCAATGACTATGGGAGCACACTACCTTGCCTGTGTCACAGCCTTTTATCGACGAGCCACTTACTGGCCTTTTCTCTTTTTTTAGTAGGCATGTTGGTGTTGTTGCAGTAGCAAACTTATGTTTTTATCTTCCTGCACTTGAACTTATTGTCTGGACTTGGTGATTTGTTTATCCATAATGCGAGGCAAATGCCTATTTCGAGAGAATGCAACAAAAGTATAAATTAGATGCAAACAATGATAATTTGAATAGCCCTAAACTGTGCTAGTGTATTACAGGATGATGATGGTAGTGATAGAAATTTGAATTTATTTTATGAGATTTTGAACAAATGTCAGGACTATCAACTTTCACAAAAGTGAGTTTTTCCTCTTTGGACAAGCTATTGGAAAAGCTTATCTATACTAGGAAATCTTTACGTGTGAGTTAGGATCTGTTCCCCTAAAGTATGTGGGAATGCATGTCTCTAATGTGGCAACTAGAAATAAACACTGGAGTGGGATGATGGAAAAAATAGAGAAAATATGTGGGTGCTGGCAAGGAAAAATGCTTAACATTGTTGGCTGGGTCACTCTGGTTTAGGCCTACTTAACTGACATCTCTCTCTTTATGATGTCTTTCTACCCTATCCCTATTGGGGTAAGAAATAAAGCTAATTTTTGTATAGGGCTGGGATTGTGTGGCTGGCTGATGAAGACAAGAACAAATATCACTTGAACTGGAAACTTGTTGTCAACCCAAAGACCACAAGGGGATTTTTTAGGGAACATCACGGGGAGCTTGGGTATCTTAAATTTAGATCTCATGAATAAAGCCCTACTAGCTAAATGATCCTAAAATTGGAAACTGGTTCAGGGTTAAAGGGACTGAAATTAAGCCCAAATTGGGAGATTCTCACTTTTGGACTGGTCTTTTGAAAGTTAAAGATATATTTTATCAACATGTAAAACAGTAATTGGGAAGGGAGAGAATATCAAACTCTTTTTTTCGCAAATACGCAAAGATTGTGTATCATTGCATTGATAGAAGAGGTGAAAAAGTACAAATGTCGCCTACAGTAGCCATGCGTACACAAGCTGGCGCGGGCTCAAGTAGCCGGAGCAGCGAGAGGAGTGGGGAGTGGGCTCCTCGTCCCCAATACATCGAGCTAGACTCTATCTCTCAGGTATCATGATCGCCAAACCGTTGGCGCCGGCGCTAGCCCATAGGCGTGAAGGAAATATGTCCTGGAGGCAATAATAAAGTTATTATTTATTTTCTTATATCATGATAAATGTTTATTATTCATGCTAGAATTGTATTAACCGGAAACATAATACATGTGTGAATACATAGAAAAACAGAGTGTCACTAGTATGCCTCTACTTGACTAGCTCATTGATCAAAGATGGTTATGTTTCCTAACCATAGACATGAGTTGTCATTTGATTAACGGGATCACATCATTAGGAGAATGCTGTGATTGACTTGACCCATTTCGTTACCTTAGCACTTGATCGTTTAGTTTGTTGCTATTGCTTTCTTCATGACTTATACATGTTCCTTTGACTATGAGATTATGCAACTCCCGTTTACCGGAGGAACACTTTGTGTGCTACCAAACGTCACAACGTAACTGGGTGATTATAAAGGTGCTCTACAGGTGTCTCCGAAGGTACTTGTTGGGTTGGCGTATTTCGAGATTAGGATTTGTCACTCCGATTGTCGGAGAGGTATCTCTGGGCCCTCTCGGTAGTGCACATCACCTAAGCCTTGCAAGCATTGCAACTAATGAGTTAGTTACGAGATGATGTATTACGGAACGAGTAAAGAGACTTGCCGGTAACGAGATTGAACTAGGTATTGAGATGCCAACGATCGAATCTCGGGCAAGTAACATACCGATGACAAAGGGAACAACGTATGTTGTTATGCGGTCTGACCGATAAAGATCTTCGTAGAATATGTAGGAGCCCATATGAGCATCCAGGTTCCGCTATTGGTTATTGACCGGAGACGTGTCTCGGTCATGTCTATATAGTTCTCGAACCCGTAGGGTCCGCACGCTTAACGCTACGATGGCAGTTATATTATGAGTTTATATGTTTTGATGTACCGAAGGAGTTCAGAGTCCCGGATGAGATCGGGGACATGACGAGGAGTCTCGAAATGGTCGAGGCGTAAAGATCGATATATTTGACGACTATATTCGGACATCGAAAAGGTTCCGAGTGATTCGGGTATTTTCGGGGGTACCGGGGAGTTACGGGAATACGAGGAAGAAGTAATGGGCCTCATGGGCCAAGTGGTGGAAGAGAGGAGGCAGGGCGCGTGGCCCCCCTAGCCCAAACCAAATTGGACTAGGGGTCGGCCCCCCTTTCCTCCTTTTCCTCCTTCTCCTTCCTTCTCCTTCTCCTCCTTCCTTTCCTCCTCCTAGTAGGAGTAGGAAAGGGGAGTCCTACTCCTACTAGGAGGAGGACTCCTCCTCCTGGCGCACCCATAGAGGGCCGGCCGGCCTCCCCCCTTGCTCCTTTATATACGGGGGCAGGGGGCACCTCTAGACAAACAAGTTGATCAAGTTGATCGTCTCTTAGCCGTGTGCGATGCCCCCCTCCACCATAGTCCACCTCGATAATACTGTAGCGGTGCTTAGGCGAAGCCCTGCGTCGGTAGAACATCAACATCGTCACCACGTCGTCGTGCTGACAAAACTCTCCCTCAACACTCGGCTGGATCGGAGTTCGAGGGATGTCATCGGGTTGAACGTGTGCTGAACTCGGAGGTGCCGTGCGTTCGGTACTTGATCGGTCGGATCGTGAAGACGTACGACTACATCAACCTCGTTGTGCTAACGCTTCCGCTTTTGGTCTACGAGGGTACGTGGACAACACTCTCCCCTCTCGTTGCTATGCATCACCATGATCCTGCGTGTGCGTAGGATTTTTTTTAAATTATTACGTTCCCCAACAAGGCGAGCGTCTTCTTGAATGGACTGGAGTAGTCTCGTGGTGGAGGGTTGTAGTTGATCAAAGGTGCATCCATTCCGGTGCTTCCAAATCGGCCACGTAGTGAGGGCTATGATGGACTTGAGCCCTTTACATAGGGATGTGGGTGATGAAGAGCAAGCAGCAATCCACCATTCCGTGAATGGTATGTCCGGAATCGGGATTGTGGTAGTCGAACGCCACCAGGATAGGACCTCGTGCCATATCTGGCGCGAGAAGGGGCAAGCAGCGAAAAGGTGGTGCATGTTGTCCTCGGTGGCCTGGTCGCAGGGTACACACCGGTCTTTGTGTGGCAATCCACGGCGAGCAAGGCGGTCTGCCGTCCAGCACCGATCTTGTAAGGCAAGCCAGATGAAGACCTTGATGCGGAGGGAGGCCTAGGTCTTCCAGGTAAGCTTCCATGAAGCATCGGTCGTAGAGCCATGAAAAAGGGCAAGGTAGCAGGACCTGGCAGTGTAGGCGTCGGACTCCGTCCCCTTCTAGCACAGCACGTCCGGCCCGGCCTGGAGGGTTGTGTGCCGGAGCATACGCCAAAGGTCGATGTACTGCACAAGAGCGGCCGGGCTGAGTGCATCAGCAATATTGCACACCCAAGCGCGCCCAGGCAGGCGCTCTGCCACCGTCCGATCGCAACAACAACATTTAGGAACCATCCAGAAACCCAGTTGCGCGAGCTCCGAGATGGCTTGCCCTCAATCCAAGGGTCGGTCCAGAACTTGCAGGTTCGGCCATCACGTACCTCCAAGGCGATGGAGGCCTGGAATATCTGCACGGCCGCCGGGTCATGTGGGAGATGAAGCCGACTCCAGGGGCGAGACGCGTCAGTTCGCTGGAGCCACAGCCACCGGGCACGCAGGACGACACCATTGAGCT